ATACTACATCTAGCTGCCCAGACACTCAACCAGGCCTAGCCAAGTTGACACACAAACATAACCATACAGTCTCTATGTCTGTCATGGTACCAGTACCAGGCTGTTTTTAACCACCATGTCTGTGTAGTAGCTTTTGACATCGGAGAGTGAGGCCTTCTATGTTCTTCTTTAGTAGTGCTTTACTTCTCCGGGGTCTCTTTCTTTTCCATATAAAATTAGTGATTAGTTTTTCCATCTCTTTAAAGAAGGGCTGAAGTAAGATTGCATTTCATCTGTAGATTGCTTTGGGTAGTGTTTTCACCATGCTAACTCTTCCTGTGAAGACTTGAGCATGAGATATTCTTCCATTTATGTAGGTCTCTTGTAGCTTCTTGTAGTAGTGTTTTAAGGGAGCTCTGGTGTTGTAGTGCCTAAGGCATTTGACTGCTAACCAGAAGGCTGGTGGTTCAAACTCACCAGCCACTCTTTGGATGGAAGATGGGGCAATCTACTTCTGTAGTGAAACCACCTCAGAAACCCAAGAAAAGGTCAATAAGAGTCGGATCTGACTCAGCAGTCAGTTTGGTTTGGTTTGGTTTAGTAGTGTTTTAGAGTTTTCTTTGTATACATCTTTTGTATCTCTGATTAGATTATTCCTATGTTCTTCATCATTTGGATGTTTATTGTAAATGATGTTCTTTTCAGAGTTCTCTTCATTAGTGTAAACGAAATCTGACTGATATTTGTATGTTGATCTTGTACCCTACCACTCTACTGCAACTTTCAATTAGTTCCAGTATTTTCTTACGGAGACTTTGGAATTTTATATTTATAAGGATCATGTCATCTGCAAATAAAGATAGTTTTCTCCTTTTTTGTCAATTTTGATGCCTTTTATTTCCCTTGGTTGCTTTGTTGCTCTGGCAAGGACTTTTAATATACTATTGAATAGGAGTAATGATAAAGGATATCCTTCTTTGATACCCATTCTAAAGGGGAACGCTTTTGGTCGCTCACCATTGAGAATAATGTTGGTTGTTGGTTTTGTGAATGTGCCCTTAATTATTTTGAGAAATTTTCCTTCTATTGCTATTCAGTGTTTTTATCAGGAATGGGTGTTGGATTTTGTTAACTGCCTTTTCTATATCAATTGACATGATCGTGCGGTTCTTTTCCATTGTTTTATTTGTGAATTATGTTGATTGTTTTTCTAATGCTGAACTATCCTTGCATACTTGGAATGAATCTAACTTGGTCATGGTGTATTATTCCTTAGATAGGTTGTTGGAATCTTTTGGTAGGATTTCGTTGAGAATTTTTGCATCTATATTCATGAGGGATACGGGTCTATAATTTTCTTTTTTAGTGGTTTCTTTGTCTGACTTTCATATGAGGGCTGTACTCACGTCATTAAAAATTTGGGGACTACTCCTTTCTTTCCTATATTCTGGAATAGTTTGAGTAGAATTGGTATCACCTCTTTTCGGAATGTTTGATAGAATTTGTCAGTGAAG